CAGGTCCATTGAAATGCATGTGCGCGGCGCAAAATTTGAGAACGAGGTGACAATGCAACTGTGATTGGATGACAAATATGAAGAAAGACCTATGGTCTGATTATGGCAACTTAACGTAACTTACGGCTCTCCCTCAAAAATTCTGTTAAATGGATGTTGCTTATAATTGAACAGCCGAAACTTAACGTAACTTAATGCCACGTAGAAATCTGTTTCATTTTGGTTCTCTAAGTTCTACGTTCCGTTAAGTTAAGTTAAGTTGCCATAATCAGGCTTTAAGACTTACGATTACAATCCATCTCCTCGGCCACTTCGATCCATGCTTGTTCTCTACAATCTCTTCGTTTATATGCTTTGAGGTCACTGTTGTACAAAGCCGGATATTTTTCAATAGCTTGCACTAAACGAATATTAAACTTTTGATCTTGTAGACCGTCCATTTTGTAGTACACAATGGTAATAGCGAAATATAAACAAGAAAACGTTACACCACTAAATGAACGCAATCACATCAAAAGCACGCGACAAACTAAATTCGTTGATTTCAACCACCGCACGACTCTGTTGGATAGTAGCTCTCAGCAAACGACGCGTCGCCGCGACTTTTCATATGAATGCAGTCGTTCGAGCAATGGCGGCGAGACATGCGCTACAACGAACCAACTGCAGGTTGTGTGTGTATCGCTTTTACGATTGTGTTGTACGTTGGCACAGGCACGTTTTGTAGCTTACAACTATATCAAGGTGTGCGTATATCATATGTATATGTATGTATGTATGGATATGTACACACATAAGCGCTCAGGTACGACTATGTAGTGCGCTGAGGCTACCCTGCAAGAAAATATAAGTTTATGAGTAGGTTGGTGGGGTACCTGAGGAAAAAGTGTAACCGATTCAAGATGGAATGAACAGTTTAACGAAATTTGCTGAGGTGTGGATGTAAGTGAGGAGATAGTATGAGTCCGAGTGCTGGCTTAATCCAACTATTGAGCCTCGTCATACGCATAGAAAAATCTTTACTGATGGTTCCACAGCAGACTGTAATGTAGACAAGCTTCACATTTCACTAGGGGGATATGATTCGGTTGCTCAATTTCATTACATGTAATCCTTAAAGCCATGGATTGTCGTGCAGAATACAGTGACTCAAACAAATGACCACGTGTTAATTTGTTTTGCACATTCGTAATGTTTTTCGAGCCAAATTTTGTTCGTTATTTTACTATAAAAATAACGTCCATGCTTTAACCAAAAACATATAAATCACAGTTTCAAACTGTATTTTTGCATTTTATTTCATAAGAAATTCATGGTTATATGGAAAAATGTGCAAAAATCCATCACCAAAAAAAAAAAACTCTCAAAAATCAACGGATTTTTTTAGCCGTTTAAAACTTACACTTAATTAAACTAAAATTGTATGACCTTTAAATTTGCATACCCAAAAATGTTCTTAAGATTCAGAAAAAAAAATGAAATTTTGATGAGATTTGTTGAATTTTCCTAATTTTTTTATAAAGTTTGAAACTGTGATTTATATGGTTTTGGCTAACGCTTTGACGGTATTTTTATAGAATAATAACAAATAATTTAGCTCGAAAAACATTACGAATATTAAAAAAATTCAACACGTGGTACTTTGTTTGAGTCAGTGTAGGTGGTGAAGTGGGAGTTTAGAAGTCTGAAATGTTAGCCAAGCTGCACGTAGGCGCACTGCCTAGCACTCTTAACTACTTCAAAAGTGGTTGCAGATGCAAGTTGATAAGCCTAACGATCTTAGCCTATTACGGTTAACTGGGGTTAGACCACCGGCCAGAGAGAGGTCCGACCAGGCATTCAACTACCGGCTATCGAAGCCACAGCCAGAAAATGGGTGAACACCGCACTCAAGGAAGACTAAGTGACATCGAGGAGCTATAACTGGGTTTAACCCTCCAAGTTTTGAGAGTTCTGGCTAATACTTTTTTTAGTGTAAATACCGGACAAGCATAGAACTGCTTCACAGGAGTCGCAGTAACTCAATTCCTTAAGATACGATTAGATGCATTTCAGAGTATTTTCTTAACAATAGAATCAAATTCTATAGAGTATCATTGCTTATTCTAAATATAAGTATGTCAAAATGTATATAATTTTTTTTTTATTGATTAAAGCAATGCACATTTGGAATGAAAATTGTTAAAAAAAACATTACTGCGAATAATTTACGAAACTATATGCCATAATAGAATAATATACAAGCCCGGCTCACAAAACACCTAGGCTTTACGCACTCCACGCACCAACTCGTCAGCCTTCTTCAAAGTAATAAAATTATTCAATTGCTTCACACGCAATTTGGACCAGATAATATAGTTGTTTAGGCCTAAAATTTGTGCGGCATGCAGCGCCGCTGCTTCAGGATACAAAACCGTCGGACAGCCCAAGCCTGAGGGCACATTCAAACTTGACCAAACATCCACTTGTAAGTTTTCAGGCTTCAAGGGTGGACAATTAATTACTGGGTATGTGGTGCTGCCCGACAATACCGGCCCAAGGCCATTCGAGCGTCCTGCCACAGCAATGAAGAGCAGATTATTGATTACGCTTTCGTATTCACGCATAATGCGCAATGTCTCTTCGGGTCCCTTGTGCGCCGAGGTGACACGCAGTTCTGTGTTGAGGCCCAATTGGCTGCAGTGCGAGGCGATCTTCTCGCAATGCGCGGTATCGGAGGCGCTACCCATTAGAATAACCACCAGATGATCTCTAGCTGGTACAATGTCCTTGAGCTGTTCGCTGACCCAGATGAAATTGCGTTTTACCGTATCCAAGTCACTGTCAGTGACTGTGGCCAGATTTCGATAGACCTGCTTGTCCACCATTAGACGCTTATCGCCGGATGGCCACAGACGCCACGAGTCGGAGTCGATAATATCGGCGAGCACAATGTTGCCTGTGTGGAAAGGATAGGGATGGAAATTTATTGTAATGTAAAACCATTACAAAAAAATATTAATTGTGAGAATGGAATCATTCAAATAAAAAAAAGAAATAAAGTGAAATTGAATAAATATACTATATGTCAATATAAAAGAAAAACAGAAATATGAAATAAGATAAATTTAGTAACTTCAATAAAAATAAAAGAATTATAATATTAAATAACAAATTTCCAAATTATAAAAACAAAACAAAATTAAAAATTTAAATGAATGAAAACTAAATTTAAATATATAAGCTGTACCTTTTTATCTTTTTAGTTTAATTTTATTGTTTTTTTGTAATGTATTGAAAAAAATTAAAATATATTAAATCCAATAAAATAAAAAAATAAACATAATTAGTTAAAACATTAAATAAAATAAATTTATGTAATAATTAAAAAGACTTAAAATAAAAAACTTTAAGAAAAACGTAGTTAAAATGTAAGTTTACAAATTTAAAAAAAATATACATATATACTGATACAGAAAAACATTAACCAAAACAAAATGAAAAATGAATAATAAAACAAATGAAAATTAAATTAAATATGATATAATAACGAAGAAAAATATAAAATGGAATACCAACAATAAAATTATATGAACTTAAAAAATATATGTAGTTACAAAAAATTCAAGAAGTTAAAACAAAATAAATAATAATAACAAAATTAAATCAAATTAGAAAAAAAGTATGGGAACATGAACTAATAACTTTAAGTTAATTAATATGAATATGAAATAATAAATTTATAAAAAAAGAAATCCCCAAACTTGGAAAGATTTAATCAAAAATAAAAGTAAACGGAAAAAAATAACATTAAATTAAAGATATTTTTTAAATTTAAAAACAATTAATTAAAATAGAAGGGGAAAAATTATTAATAAAGTAAAATGGAACAGAATAAAAAAACCGTATGTTAAGAAGAAAATATAATACGAAATTTAATTAAATCAAATCAAATAAATTCAATTAAATAACATTAAACATACGTTAATAAGGTAAAATATATCAATGGTAAAAACATTAGAAAAGTAAAATAGAGCAATGGGCTGTGCGCTGGGCTTGGCACCCGCCACAGATTCCAATGAAAATACAGAAAAAAAGCCTCGGAATGTTGCCACCTACAACGTTGAATAGTTAAGCGCATAAAAATACAGCGATTGCGCTGGCTTGGACATGTTGTACGCATGGATGATGACTAGGGATGTTAATCCCGGGATTCCGGACTTTTTAAGTCCCGAAAATTCCGGGATTGTTTGCCAAGAATCGCGGGATTTTCGGGATTTGTAATTTGCAATGGTGGAAATAATAGAATGCCTTATGTTGACCAGTTTTCGCTATATTTTTTTTGTTTATTTAATATTTAATATATACATTTTTTATATATGTCTAGCTAATTATACATACACAGAACACCGTGCGACAGGCAATTTTACACACAAAAAAATCAATATCTTCGCGAAGCCATGGGCCAAATATATGCAGTAAAATTGCGTTTTAGCTTTTCTCTCTGCCGTTACATTTTTTTAAAAGGACTTTGAATATTGAACAATATGAGTAATTCAGAAAGTGGTTTAAAAAATTTAGTTCAGTGTGCTTAGGAAAACAGTATGGGTATTAAATTAAAGAGAAAATTCTGTAGAAAAAGAACAGATTAAATTTTTTGGTGCATAAGGTATTGAAAATGTCCTTAAAAGTTGTATCCTTGAATATCCTTGAAATTTTGCAATATTTATTTTGAACAAATTATATGTTAAGGACTAATATAAACTCGACAACGTCCTCGAATATAGTCCTTCTAGCTTTATTAGCTTAAAAAAATAAAATTGATTGAAAGGGCATTTCAATACCTGTTCGTCCTTGTGAACCCAAACAAATTTTTATTTTTTTTCTGTTTCATTTGATTCCCAATTTATTCTACGTTGCACTGAATTTTTTAAATAATTTTGTAGAATCTATCATATCTTTGAAATTATAAAGTTCTAATAAAAAAATTCTAAAACTAAAAACGCAGTTTTACTATATTTGGCCCATAGTGTCGTGAGAATATTGGGAGCTTGGTGTGTTTTGAAATTTTTTTGTTTCAAACTGTTTCAATCTTTTTACTCAGAATTTTTAGAAAAATTTAAGGTACGCAATTTTATAAGTATAGCCCATTAAATTACAGGAGGAAGTGACTAAAAGTAACGTTGATTTTTTATAATTTTTTTGCTGGCGGTGTCACGCATCTTCTTTCATACAAAGTAATATGTTCGACATTTTGTTTATATGGAAGAAAATGCTCAGCGTCGTTTAAAAAAATCCTGTATGAAACTTTATTTTATCCCACTTTAAGTTAATGGGCTATAAAACTGCGTACCTAAAATGTTTCTAAAATTGCTGAGTAAAAAGTTAGAAATTTTTGGCAAATTTTTTTTGCATTTTTATAATTTTAGTACAAATTTTTAAATGCGCATTTAAATGCAGTTAATGAAATATAAAATGACAGGTAGACTTTTATAAAAAAAAAAAAATATTAAATAAAGAAAATAAAGAAAGAAAGAAACGAAGTATAGACTAAACTGGTTGAAATAAGGCGTTTCTTTTATTTCTGCCACTAGTATTATGAACTTCCTTCAGCCACACAACACATATGTTGACTTAAGCTTTTTTTGCATCGAGCTTTTTTCGACATGCCTTAAGTTACTTTATCAGATAATTACTGTATTTTGTTTTGTTACTAATGAAATATTTTACAACTTACATAATAAAGATTTCCAATCCATTAATCTATTATTTATTATATGGTAGGACAGATTCTCAAACTATATTGATGCAATTTTTTCATGGTACGTTGTTGGAAAACAATGAATATCTAAATCCCGGGATCCCGGGATTTTATGAACGATGTCCCGAAAATTTCGGGATCGCAAAAATCTAAAAAATTAACATCCCTAATGACGACGCTCCGGTGAAAAGATCCTTAGACTCCGCACCATGGGTGGACAGCGAAAGCAAGGGCGCCCACGAACACGATGGAAGGACCAAGTGCAGAAGGACCTGTCTGCACTTGGGATGAGGAACTGGGGCAAATACGCACAGTAGAGATGCAATTGGAAAAGCTTTTTGGTCTCGCCCAACCCGAAAAACGGTTGTAGTGCCAATGAAGAAGAATAGGATTTATAATACGGTAAAAATTAAAATAATATGAAATGGGATAAAATGAAATAAGAATAAATTAAATCGAGCTTAAATAAAATAAACTTCAAATAATATAAAGTTGAAAAACTACAAACAAGTTTAATGTAATTGAAAAAATTAATTA